GACCGCAGAAGTCTTTGGACCTTTTTTCAGTTTCTGAGCTGTCTCGCGGTCAACCGCGAAAATAGCACGGTCGACCGCCGCTTTATTCAAACGGTCTTCTGTACACAATCTCAGCGCCGATTGTACACAATCTCAGCGTTGATTGTTTCCAGATTTTGGGGGATTAGGGTATGGATTTCAAACAGCTGTCTCTCTTCTATTTAAACTCATACACTCCTTCTTCCTCATTGTCCCAAGCTTTTAAAAAACCAGAGATTTTGTTTACAAACTTGTTTTCTGTGTTTTCTCAAGTTCACATCCCAGCTTCAGTTTAATCTTTCTCTTTGCCATAAGGACTTGTAAAGAGAGAGCTTTTACACCATTGCTACTGTTTGAGAGCTTGATCTTGTGAAGGTCAATTGTGTGGGAGTATGATCTAGTGGAGATCAACTGTGTAGTTGTGAGATCGTGAGGAGATCGTTGTGTAGAAGAAGTTCCGGCTTCCAAACCGGATTGTGTAGTGGATTTCTCCTCGAGAGTGGGGAGCGGGGATGTAGGTCAGCGGACCGAACCTCATTAACACTTCGCGCGTCACAAGGATAACGATTCCTAATTCTATCTCTATTTCTACTGTTGTTCATTTTGTGGTTTGTTGCTTGTCTCAATTTTTATTGCACTATTTTGACCTTGAGACCCTAATCAGTAATTCACCCCCCGCCCCCCACCCCAAGGGTGCCAAAAACTATTGCCAAAATTAGGGCAGAAGACTTGCAATTTTCAGGCACTAGCAAATTTTCCAGTTAACAGCAGAAGCCACGATTAATTCATTTTCTCCCTTTTAGCAAATGCCACCATTTTGATAGGAACACCACAAAAACCAATAATATGCATATATGTACTGTTCAAAACACTTTATTTGAAGTGAAAAACGCCTTATTTGGAGTGCAACTTGCTGGAATTAGTGTGCACCAACAAGACTTGATTTATCAGATACTTCGAGATCAAAGAGCTGTCGGGCTCGAGTCGCCGCTAATTTGTTTCGTCTTAGAAATATAAGAATATTATATTTCCATCCCGAGAAAATGAAATTAGGTCATAACATAACATACTGGGCAAAAGATCTATTTTTAGGTAGCCTACTTTGACTGTGTGTAGAGGAAATGATCGTAATGCCAAAGTTTTAGAGAAAGTTATGTAATACATGATGTCTATGGCTGTTTGGTTCATTTCCCAGAGAGAGTGTGGGGAAATCTAACAAAGAAACCATCTAAAATAGGTTTTCAAATGACTTCCTACAAAAACCTCTGAATTGGGTTCTCAAAAAATTGAGTCAAATCAACCAATGGGAGGGCCATCAACACCCCCTCCCACCCCCACCCCACCCCACCCCCCACGCACCACAACACCACACCCCACCCCACCTGCGGGGCGGATTTCAAAGTGGGAAGCAAACAAGAGTAAAGGAAAATTTATATGAAATATGTTCTATAATGTGATTTCTTGGTTTTTTTGCGCAAACCATACTGGCCGGAGATAACTTTGGCATACCTACAACGGATGGGAATCCTCATATGCTTATACATTCTTATCATTAGAGGTATACTATACCTTTATAGGCTTTGATTACCCCGAAACACAAAAGTACGATTTATTAAAACCTCTTACTTTGCGATAACAATTGACAAGAAAGAACTATACATCTCTGCATCTTATTTATGGCATATAATTTGTAGTGTAGTTGGCATTACTCAATATTATCAAACTTAAGCAAATAGACAACTAAAAGCTGCAGGCAAGAAATGTAATTAAGCAACAAGGTGGACAAATCAAATTACTGAAAGATATAAATTGAATTCATTGCATTGTGACAGTGTCATGAAACACATCATCTTGTCTGTGCACTATTCTTGCTTAATCTGATCCCTCTCAAAAACAAATCTTTGGAGATTGGGATTGGCTAATGAAGGAATGGCTTTGATAAGACAAGTACTTTGGTCCAGTGGGCAGTGGATGAGCACTTTCAAGAACAAGAAAGCCACTCTTAAGAGTGTCAGAAAAAGTTAAACATGTGCCCAAACTCAAATATTTTTGCTAGGATAAATCTGCGCAGGAGCTAATCCAGAGTTTACCAGGATCTGCTTTAAAATGAAAGCTCAAACACATGAAAGATGTGCATCTAGCATGCGTATCTGATGATCTCATGAATTTGTTCGTAATATACTACTAATTTATATCCACAAAACCTTGCCATGCTATTAAATTTCACAAACCCTGAATAAAATCTCAAGAGAAGATATTATCAATAAGACCTAATTCTCCAACGGTATAAAATATGAAGTAAAGAACTGACCCGGCTCCTCAAGATCCAGTCTTGGACTAACCAGAGCCATTGGATCCCGAACCCGAAGCGGATTCCTCAGCCTCGACGAGCTTCCGGAGCCTCTCTTGAAGGATCCGAACCCGACTCTCAGTTCGCCGGAGCTTCGTCCACCTGTAGGCTGATGTTACGCGCCGAGCCGCCGGTAGACTAAGATGTACGAGCCCCAAACGTACGGGTACGTCTCAGCGTGCTCCTTGATCTTCAGCCATCGATTCTCTACTCTCTCCTTCAATCCCCCGTTGGATTTGTCGGGCTCGAGTCGCCGCCGTCGGCTGCCGCCATTGATCGAGGATTGAAAAGTTACAATTTCTGTCCGTTTGGGGTTTTAGGGCACAAGGAGTGAGAAATGTTTGCTGCTCCACAGTGTGTTTGGGAGGAGGTAGAGAGGGGGGGGAGGTGCAAACTTTAACCTTTCCCCCCCCCCCCCCCCCCGGGGGTAGATGGAGGGGAACGGTGGAAAGTGTAAGTAAAATGTAATTACAATCTTGTCCTCCATCAAAATAAATAGAAGGACAAGTTTTCAAAACAAACACTTTTTGGAACTTATTTTTAAAAAACGATATGTTTCAACTTTAATTATCAAAACCGACCTAGTTTCAGCCCTGAGGCTGAAACTGGGTCGGTTTTGACGAAAAAAGTTCTCAAATTTCACGGGAGTTAAACTCTCATGAAGTTTTTTACATAACAAAACTTCACGGGAGTTGAGGCTGAAACTAGGTCGGTTTTGATAATTAAAGTTGAAACAGGTCGTTTTTTGGGGAATATTTTTGCAAAATGGTTGGTTTTGAAAATTTGTCCTAAATAAAAGGGTTGTGATCTACCCATTTTTTGCAGTCGCCTTCCTCTCTCCGCGCTCTCTCCCTCCCGTGCTCTCCCGGCGGTCTCACTCCCTACGCGGTCTCTCTCCCAGTGAGAGAGACCGCGCAGGGAGTGAGACCACCGGGAGAGCACGGGAGGGAGAGAGCGCGGAGAGAGGAAGGCGACTGCAAAAAATGGGTAGATCACAACCCTTTTATTTAGGACAAATTTTCAAAACCAACCCTTTTGCAAAAATATTCCCAAAAACGACATGTTTTAACTTTAATTATCAAAACCGACCTAGTTTTAGCCTCAACTTCCGTGAAGTTTTGTTATGTAAAAAACTTCATGGGAGTTCAACTCCCGTGAAGTTTTGGAACTTATTTTTAAAAAACAATCTATTTCAACTTTAATTATCAAAACCGACCTAGTTTCAGCCCTGAGGCTGAAACTGGGTCGGTTTTAGCGAAAAAGGTTTCCAAACTTCACGGGAGTTAAAGTTTTTTACATAACAAAATTTCATGGGAGTTGAGGCTGAAACTAGGTCGGTTTTGATAATTAAATTTAAAACAGGTCGTTTTTGGGGAATATTTTTGCAAAAGGATTGGTTTTGAAACTTTGTCCTAAATAAAAGAGTTGTGATCTACCCATTTTTTGCAGTCGCCTTCCTCTCTTCGCACTCTCTCCCTCCCGTGCTCTCTCGGCGGTCTCACTCCCTACGCGGTCTCTCTCCCCGTGCCCCCCCCATCACCCAGCGCCATCCCGCATCATTCAGCCTCGTCGACGTTGATTCTTTAGGTTTGAGCTTTATCTCTATTTCTCTTCGATTGCACACAATTTTGCTTCTGAACTTTTTTAGATAGATTCTGCTTGATTTAGGATAAAGATACAACACTTCTTAGAGTGTAATTTCTCATTTTGGTATAGTCCCGTGTCCATGCTTCAAAAAAATTTCATTAATTCAAGTCATATATGTAGGAAAAGTGTATAGCTTAATCATTGGAAGTTGTCATGTATGATATTGGCCAAAGTTGTTGTAGATACACCTTGTTCGGTCAGTACTCTTTTTAAGTGATAGACCAGATCATTAGGAACTACAATTCTAAGATCTGACAACAATTTGTCATGATCCCAATCAAATTAAAGATTGAGAGTAAATGACTAAAAAACTTTCTAGAAAAGAATTCGACATTGAGACAGCTACAACCGAATATAATCCATTGTCGATCTTACATCGAAGCTTCATACTGTCCAATAAATTTTTCTGGTATTCAAAATCCAGTAGAAGTCATCCATGGGAATTGTTCAACTTGTATATCAGTTACCATTAGCTTTCAAATAATTCCAGCCTGTAGGATGAATTTAGATCATTGATATTTCCAAGTTTAAATCACTTTGCCACGCCTTAAAATTTGTAAGTTGTTCAGGTTGTTATGCCATTTGTAATTACCATTTTATGTTGTTCTACTGGATTAGTGGTTATGATGTCGGAAAGGAATTTACAACGATTAGTTGACGAGACAATCACTAAACCATTCGCTAGTGGAAATTTCCGGGGCGTTTAAAAAAAACAATTACATGATAAGCTAATTCGTGTATTGTAATAAGAGCTTCTAAATTTATCATTAGTTTGTGTATAATTAAGGATTCTTAATTTTCTATTCTAATTGTGTTATTTTCATATCCTCACATAGATAATGGATGAAGCATGAGTCAAATTTCAACATGCATGCCATTGTGCAATTGGATATGCTCTTCGTGTGATTGCTTATTGGTTCATACAACAAAGAGAAAATAGAAGGAGATTAAATAGTGAACCCCAAGAGCCTAGAAAAGTAACTAATATGGTGCGAAAAATATTATCACAAAGGGTTGTATGTAGAGAAATGATCCGAATGAATCCACCGGCTTTTCATCAATTATGTGGAATATTGGAGAGAGATGGCGGGCTTAAACGAACTCAAAGAGTTACTATTGAGGAACAAGTTGCAAAATTTTTGTATATGTTGGGACACAACGTAACTACTCGTGAGGTTAGTAAGATATTTGGACGATCTGGAGAGAGTGTGAGTCGTCATTTTTATAATGTTTTAAGAGCTATGATAGAGTTGGAAGAGATATTTTTAGTGCAACCCAATGGAGCACAAATTCCTCCAGAGATACTGAACAATCCAAAGTTTGATCCATATTTCAAGGTGATGATAAATTTCACAAATTCTTATCTTTGTATAGGTTGTTAAAATTAGAATTTAACTAATTACTCCCTATATTGTCAGGATTGTGTTGGAGCAATAGATGGAACACACATCCGATTAAAGGTTTCTCCTACTGACGCTCCTAAATATCGTGGTAGGAAAGATCACCCGACACAAAATGTATTGGCTGCCTGCACATTTGACTTGAAATTCACTTATGTCTTACTCGGGTGAGAAGATACTGCATCTGATTCCAGAATTTTAAAAAACGCTTTACAACAACGATTTCCACTTAAAATCCCTCAAGGTAATCATTAATCCTGAATAATCTACTAAGCACAATGAAACCCTTTTTTTATAAGTTATTAATCACAATGAATTTTTTTAGGAAAATATTATCTCTCTAATGGTGGATACAAGTTAAGAAGTAGAATAATTCCACCCTATAGAGGGGAACACTACCATTTGAATGAGTATTCAAGAAATCCACCAAGGACTCAACATGAGCTGTTTAACCTAAGACACGCGTCATTTCGTAATGCCATTGAAAGAGCATTTGACATATTAAAAAAAATTCCCATCATAGTGAGCTCAACTGAACCGAATTATGGTGTTAAAGTACAAAATCAAATTATCCTAGCTTGTTGTATTTTGCATAATTTTTTAAGGGGTACCGACCCAAAAGATGATTTCCTTGAAGGGGAAGAAGATGATAATGAAAACTCATCGGTTGAAGATGATGTGAACGAGGATGAAGATGAACAAAGAGGGAAGTGTTTAAGAGATTCCATTGCAGCTTCTATGTGGCAATATTTTAATGCATGATTACGGTTTTGCCATCGGTTTTGTACTTTGTTACATTTTTGCCTGGATTGCAGGTATGGATGCAAACGAATGCCGTGTAATTATTAGTGGAGAAACTTTTAAAATAGATCAACTTTGTCTCAATATTTTCTTTTTATTATACTAGTATGTAATACGTGCGATGCATGTGAGTCACATTAGTAGATTATAAGGGTTGTAATATTTCAATGCCAAATAATATTGTTCACTTTGCAATCTTCAATTTTTTTTAAACAGCTTGTTTTCTTGTATGTAAAAGAAATTGTAAAAAGAATTTTCATCTGAAAACGTTAAATCTAAATTACATTAGATTGTAATAAAAATATTAGAAATAATTACTGAATTATATGCATATAGTAAACAGCATGCTCTTTGTGCAAAATTTAAGATGACAAGTTACAAAAATAAATGTGATTAGCATACTTCGGTTTCAGCAACAAGTTATAGTCCTATTCACCCATCAGTTAAAGGTTTCTTTCCCTCAGTGTCAATTGTTGAAGCCTTACATGGTTTATTTGATGTTTACATTTATTAATTACAGAAACACCATAACAACAGTCACTACAACATAATGAAATTATAACCCTAGGTTGCACAACAGAAAATGGAAGTTAATTATATCAAACACAACATCGTGTGCACGCCCACAAGAACCTATGAACTCTTAACGATGATATAGAGTTACAAAGCTTAGTTTAAACTTTAAAGCTCAATTAACCATCAACGTAAACGACAAGATCATTTTTTGAGCTGCAATCGACGGATTTTATTAAAAAAAAAATTAAAAATGGTTTTTTTTCATGAACCTGACTTCTCCTTTTATTCTAATTACTTGACCTTCAAGAAGAAGTCGACTGCCCCATTAAGTCATTCACGTCAGGGCCCTGATGCGGAGAACTCCCATCAAAGATATAACAAGTTCAGTCCATTTACAGATAACTCGGCAAATGTTTGGAAATATCACTTAATTCCCAAACTATCTTTTTTAGAATAGTCTTAAAAAGGTGGGAGATATCTTAAAATATATTCAGGTGGGATCTCCAAAGAAATATCACGCGTAGTGTGAGACTGACGAGACTGGATGGTGCAACATGTGCTATGTCGATATATGATGGTACCTGCAAAATTTTGTTTCATCAGAAATGGGCAATAATATATACAAAAATGTCCTCATTGTGTTGCAAGATGAATATAATAGAGTATCACTACACTGTCAAAGACATAGTGAGAAGGAATTTATAAATGATTTTTTTGATTATTCACCAATTCATTAGCTAAAGTCAGACTATCTAAAAAGATAGTGCATTAGATAGTACAGGTTGTTTGTTGAAATGGTTGTTCTCGGTTTGATTGAGGGGGGAAAAGGTTAGACATTCTTACCTTTTTTTTCTTTTTTATTTTATCCCTGCCTTTTCTATTTTATGAGGAACTTAGCATTAATTTTATGTAAAAATCCGACGGGGCAACCCATTTTTTCAGATTTTTCTTCAGCATTTCTATGTTGTTTTATCGTCCAGGCATATACACTCACACGTTTTCTGGTGAGCATTTGCATGGTTTATTTTCTGAAACTCGTCTGACGAGGCAAATTTTTTAACAGGTCAAGTTTGTACAAATAGATTTACTGCAATTTTGTTCTGAGTTGTTTTTAACTATAAACATGTAACATCTTGTTCGGTTGAACTGTTTTTGGTCCATTTCTGTTTCTTATAAGTAGAAGTTAGTGTTTCTTTTATGTCTGATTATTACGTATAAATGAGATGTAAATTGTTGTTATCTTTTGAAAATCTACTGCGGTATTTGTTCTGGTAGCGTTTAAGCACCAATGACAACTAAATTTTCACAATGATACTCTAGTACCAAACAAACTGTTGCAAGGGGTATGCATGCATTTGATGAGTGATAGAAATTAGGTTGCATACTGAAAATTTTTCACAATGGGCGCGCAACACGGCTTTTTAGTCACGTTGTCCAAACCTATGCAGTTGAAAATGATACATTACAACTAAATAAAATCAACTCAGAGAGCACAAGACAAGGTAATCAGACATAATATCTAAACTAATACTATGGAGTGCAGAAAGCCCAAAGAATACCAAAGTTACAATTCCTTTGGGCTGTGTTTGGCAATGCAGGCTGTGGTTGGAAATGCTGATTCGGGCTTGGATTTGAAATTCTGAGCATTTCAAATCCAAATATCATTTTTGGGCCCAACTTTTGACCATGATCGTAAATCATAATCATTTTATGGAGTGAACTTGAAAAGCCCAAAGGTGTGTATTTCAAATTTCACCACAATTGTTGGTTTTTGTCAAATCCTCACCCCCACAAAACCCGTAACCCCTCGAAACCCCGACTACTCTCTTTTTTTTCCCTCTCTCACGCTCGTGTCGAAGTCCTGACTCCTCAAAATCTCGATCTCGATCTCGATCTCGATCCATCGCAGGTAGTCTCTTCCTCCTCTCCTCTACTCTCTCTCTCTCTCTCTCTACTGTCTCCTCTCTCTTCCCCTCCATTTGAAACCCTAGATCTGAGCTTGGGTTTTGGTCGTGATCGTCGCGGCTAAAACCCTAGATCAGAGCTAGTACTGTCGACGTGGACCCCATTTATGGTGGTTTATGTCATCAGAAAATTATCTTACCAAAAAAAATCTAATTTTTTGATGATTTCATTATGGATATGTATTAGGGTGTGGTGATTTTGATGGGTTATTAGCTAATTCGGTTTTGATGAGAAGTGGGATAAATATAAATCCTAGAATAGGCTAAAATTTTTCAATTCAAATAATCAGCACAGTTGGTAAGTAATCAATGTAATTGCTAATTGAAAAACAAAAAGGTTACTGTTTAGTGAATACTCAGCACAGTTGGTAAGTAATCAATGTAATTGCTAATTGAAAAACAAAAAGGTTACTGTTTAGTGAATACCTTTGATATATGAACTCCAAGAAATGTAATTGCTAATTGAAAAACAAAAAGGTTACTGTTTAGTGAATACCTTTGATATATGAACTCCAAGATTTCTATGAACACCTGAACACTTGATACGAATGAATACTCCCAGACTCGATGACCTAATTTTAGCCATTTGATTATTTGATGTGGAGTATAAACACCAACTTACAAATAAATTGTGTTCGCTGACATGATTTTGGATTTCTAAATTCTCAAGTATAATGGAAAAAAATTGACATCATATCAAGTACATGAATAGTGAAATATTATCATATTCAAAGTAGATATACTTTGCTTTTTATGTATATTTATTATCTTCTGTATACTGATACTAATGCAAAAGGTTCACTAGTAGCAATGTTTCACTGCATGTTTACATACATATTTGCACAGTGAAATTCACCACAAGTAGAAAATATGGAACTTTGCAACATCGTAAATTGTTGCTTGTTATGGGTTTTGCTTTCCTGAACTGGTGAAATCTATATGCAAAATGCTTATGTTAGTGTTGGATATATCATGATTGACGGAATCCATATCGAAACGTTCTCTAGATCTTTGGTTGCTGAACTGATCATATTTATATGTCAAACTCCTGGAAGAGCCTTTTCCTGTGGATATGATCATCAGCGAAGGCCAGCAAGCCTCCCTTAAGACTAGTGTTCAACATTGTAAGCTCCATGATGTAATTTGGTGAAATACATGTTACTGAAGTGAATGCCATTGCCAAGTATTTTCCACCTTGGATATGATTTGTTAGGGATTCAATATTTCTGTGTGAACTTCGACTTTTGTGCTCAGGTCCCCTTTTTATTGATTAGATATGTCTGAATGTTAAATTAATGAAACGAAATCAGTAAAACATCAGCTAAAATGTCCTTTTTCAAATTAAGGCTTCCTTATTATTTTATACTTCTTTTTTATTGGGTTTATTATGATATGAAGGAAGGCTTTTACATTTTATTCGCATATGTTTTCTTTTTTGGGTGGATTACCAGAGTATCGCCCAAGAGAGCCTTCACCATTGGTGAATATATATAAAAACCTTTCTTATATTTTCCCCCTTCTACATTCTTTTCCTTTCCTTTTTTTTTTGGTTTTGTTTTGTTTTGTTTTGTTTTGGAAATGATGATGAAGTGGAGCTGTAAATATTTTACATAAATGAGGGACAAGTTTCATTGTGGTGCATTATTTTACTGTTGTTGGCTGAACATACACACGTGTGTCCCGTTGTAGCATAATGCCCTATGAAAAGTGTTCATTTTTCAAACTATGTTGGATTTAGATAGCTCATCATCCTGAAGTTCAGTGATAGTGAGTATACATTTGGTAGCAGCTTGGTTTATCTTGTTTAGGGAAAGGGGTAATTGTTCATGTGCTAGCTCCTTTGATTGCTTCTAGCATGGTTGCACATATTCTTGGTTTTTTTTATCAAGTTGGCATGTATGTAAATTTTCTTATGCAGTTTTTGCTGTAAGCTAAATTGAGATTGCACTAGGTAACTAAACTATCAGGCTAATAAAAATTCTCTATGGGCTGGTCAAGGACCATTTTCATCAATTAAACAGGGGTCCAATTTTGAAAGAATAGGGCCCATTTGCTCTTTGCTTCACTTCCAGGGGAGAAGAAAAGAAGCGAGGGCGAGAGAGAGGGGGAATGGGTTGGAAGGCGGCTCAAAAACTCATCCCAAAATGGAAAATTTTGAGGGGCGATAATGTTAGTTGCTAATTTCTCTCTCCATTTCTCTCTTCAAATTTTTAAATTTTTTGATTTTTTTATGATTTTGTTTTGATTGCAGGTGATGATTATAAGAGGAAAAGACAAAGGCGAGACCGGGATGATAAAGAAAGTAATCCGCTCCCAGAACCGCGTCGTTGTCGAAGGAAAGAATTTGGTAATTACGGTTTTTTTCTTTATTATTCTTTAAATATAAGAATATAGAACTAAAGATTGGGTTTAGCAACAAGCGACGTTGAAATAGATATTTGCTCAAATTTGTAGTCATGCCAGTAATTTTATTGAATATCGTAGGATAATCATAAAACAAGGGTTCTTTGGGGGATGAAGTACTATGTGCTTGAGTTCACAGTACAAATGAGAATAGATAATATCAATATAACCTGGGTTTTAGATGAACTGAATTACCCATGAACTGATTTTGAAACTTTTCATTTAAGTTTTTATGCTGGAAAGATTAAAATCATGAAATGATTTAGTTGTCAATGGCAAATTATCATATATTCCTTTATTCTGGATTCTTTCAAAGGCTAGGAGAACTTTAGAGTGTTGTTTCTTCGTAAGGAGCTTAAACTGCATGACCAATAAGGCAGTTTGTAATTTTCACAGGTTGCTTGGCCTATCAGGTTTATTGGGATTTGGAATTTGGCAATTGTTTAGGTTAAAACCTTAAATGCGCATTGATCTATCAGAAATAAGGATCAAATTTAATTTAAATAAAGTAAAAGGAAGTTTAAAAGCCCGCATTTGATGGAGAGATGAGCAAGACTAACCTTGCTGCCACCTACTCACCTTATGCAACATTCCAAGGAGATAATATTCTTTAATGCTATATCTTCTTGTTGTACTTGTCATCCAAGCTGTAGAAGAGGAGATTTTGGTAGATTAATGTTCTGGAGATTAGTCTAGAGAGAAGATGATAGTAACAATTCTTATCTAAAATTTTCCAACTGCACACTAATATATAAGAATAAGGTGTGCTTGTTTTAGGAATCACACATTCCATGCATTCCCAAATATTCTCAGGTCTACGTGTTGGTGGTAATAACTAGATAGATCTTAAAACTATCAAAACAAGCAGGTAAGTAAAAAGTGTAATACAAGTATTCTATATAAGCACACTAATCATGAATATTTTGTTTAATCCAAAATATTTAGTTGTCTCATATGATCAATCAGACCATATTATTCCTTAATTTGGACCTTTATTTTATTTCCTTTGGGGAATAAACTTAACATTCACTCCTGAAAGATGAATTTCCAAAGAGAAAATAAGAGAGAGACATGTGGACATGTTTCATGTGCAATAGGTATAAGTGGATTATGATCTTGAATCTATAGAGATTTATCACATTTCTGAGAATGCATTTTAGGCACTAGACTCTACTAGAAATTGGCAAATGTGAACATGGATAGGTCTACAATATTGGTCAAGCAGTTTGACATGCTACTATTGCCCTGTATATAGTAGCAGCTCTTGATTCTAACGAGGAAACGAGGTAGGTCTAATGGCAATTCTCATGCAGTTGGATCCTTTAGGGGGTTTAAGAGTTAGAAGAACCCTCTCCAAGTCTTATATTCATTGAGTTTTATAACTCATTCTTCAACTGATTTAGACATAGATTTTGCCTTGTAGGAGTTTCAAGGTTAATTAGACATGTATTGTTGCACATGTCTGACTTGTTTATAGCTTGAGCAACCACATTAGCTCAATGATATGTTTTAGTAACCATACTTTCATGATTATGCCTCCTATGGAAATTCATATTTAATTTTTTAGTTTTCTTTTGTTTGGCATTTGTTTTGACTGCACTGCTATCTCGTTAGTTGTTACCTATGTTGCACAAACACATAAATAAGGGAGGCATACCCATATTAGATACGTATCTGATATTTGGATATTTGATCGATACTCTGTAACTTCCAAAAATATGTACTATATCTCAAACATATCAAAGATGTCTTAGAAATTAACCTATAAGACCAAAGAGTTAAATATACAATGCACGAATGTTAGATCACAATTTAATTTAACTTATGGAGCATTCTATAGAACTTAGCCGCTTTTTTTAGCGTGGTAATCTTTTATATACTACCCAAGTTATCCCATCTTTTTCAAGCACTAGAACTTTTAAAATCTATGTTGCAAATATGTACCGTTTGTTTTCACATTTTTTTTAAGCTAAAAAAATTTTATTCGTGCATCCATTTCTTGGATTTCAAGATTTGTCAAATCTGCATACTTGTGCGGCTGTGCCACGTTTATCCATATTCCATGCTTATATTACTACAACCTATCCAACTGCTAGACGGACATAGCAGAGGTCAGATAAATGTCCCATTATCTTCTGCTTCTTTAAACTACTTTCTTTAACATTAAAATTTCCAAAATATCTTCTCTTCCTATACTATCTGCGGGCAATTACAGCAATCTCATCTCAGATCGTGCACCTGTAGTGATTCTAGAAACAGGAGAGTACTTCTAAAGGAACATACTCTTGGGTCATTGCATGAGGCTGTGACTGATTTTTTAGGGTGGAGCTCGCTCCTCTCCAACACATACTGGATTCTAATTTTTCCAACATATACTGGATTCTAAAATTTTCCTCTTGCTATTTATTAAATTAATCTTGATTACTTTTTTGATAGTCTATTGCCTACTGATATTTGAATCCAAGCATCTTGTCCCTCTCTTATCTATGGATTGCTTGGTCGGTTGATACCAACTTAAAAAGTTGGTGTCAGGATCATAGCTGGCCCCGAGAATTTCTGAGGAAGAGGATTATGTGATGATAATGATAATGATAATGAAAGATATGCATTTGACCAATGAAAATTTTCCCTTGCAGGTTAAGAAGCACATTAAACAAGGACAAGGACATGAAGGAGGAATCTTCAGCGTTGAAGCTCCTCTTCATGTGTCAAACGTGCAAGTTCTGGACCCAGTTTCTGGGTATGATTTTAAGATTTTTTATTGATATTCATCACAATGCAAAGTACTTGCAATTTTCACCACCATAAGTTCCATGTGCTTAATTTGTATATTTTCTCAATCAGGAAACCTTGTAAGATTGGGTTTCGCTTTATGGAAGATGGAGCCAAAGTGAGAATTGCTCGCGGGCAGGAAGCTTCTGGTGCCATAATCCCTCGCCCAGAGATCTTAAAAATGAGGAGAAAGCCGCGGCCTACAGAAGGTACTCTCAGAATTGAAAATTTATGCTGAAGTTGGCATTATGTTGTGCTTTTGCTTACTTTCCAGTCATGATCATTGCGTTTAGCATATACAAGCTACGAGTTTCATGACAATGCATGTATACAGCATCTAAAGGGTCACTTCATTATGGGTAGATTACCATGGGAACTGTTTTTAAGATATGAAGAGGGTCCTGTAGTTGTTGTTTGCTGTTTCTCATTTTAATTTTAAATTTGTGTGTGTGTGTGTGTGCGCGCGTGATACCTGCATGTTATGTCAAAATTAATGTTTTGTTGTCTGTAAGAAGCTAAGAGTGATAGGGATGAAGACCATAATGCCACCCCTAACATTAATTGTACGTTTCCTAGTGCTTTAGAGGTTGTGCTGCTAGAATTAAAAGTTTGAAGAGAAATCTAGCGTTTAAATTTAAAGGCATATAGATGAATACATCCTAATTCCTAAATGTTAAGGTACTTGATATTACTTGTGGCCTGGTGATCAAAGTGCATAAATTCACACATGTTGAAATTTTTGGGAACAATTTGGCTGCCGATAACAGTGAATTCCCCACAAGCAGATTTTCTGACCACATTTGAGCAATGTTTTAAATATCGGCCGCCATTTGATACCCTAGCCGTCACGATATCCTTCATTTCAATGCGTATTACGTTTCTGAGGTCATGTCGGGGACATGTCGGAAAATAGTTGGTATGTCGGGCGCCATTGCGGCCAAGAAATATCGGCCAAATTTCAGAAAAAGCGGTTTTAAGCTTATTGGGTCAAGTTTGAAAAACCCGACTCGGGAATCAGGTGTCTACAATTGGTTAGTGATCTTAACATTAATAAGTTATGTACTTTTTCATAAGTTTAGACAATATAATTATCAAGTATGTGAAGATTCCATTTATGATATTATATCAACCTATCCGATATGGCAATCCGATATTTTTTTCATGTCCCCCGATATATCCCCGATTTCCGCTATCCGACATGAATTTTGGCCGACCAACATGAACCCGACATCCGACATTTAAAACATTGCATTTGAGGTTATTGCATAGACATGGATTATTTGATATAAACAACTGACAAACCTAAACAAGAGACTCTGATGTGGATTTTCTATGGACAGTTGAGCAACTACTGGATTCTTCATAAACTAGTAGTTCAAAAGTGATCAACTACCATGTCTGTGTATAAGTTGTCATCTATTGCGTCTGTAGTCTATTATAAACTTATTGTATTATTATATGACTTTAATCAATGTGTAAAAGAAATAGTATATGTTGATATGCAATTTGCTTGCTGATACCGTATAAACCACATATGTGTTGGCATCAGTTTATAAGGAAAATTAATATAAATTTCAGAAAAATATGAAAAGCCATGAACTTCCAGGAACTGTTTTGAAATAAGTCTAAATTGCGCATGTTATGCATAGTAAATGCATATTACATGCTGCCACTTATTACTTTCGGCTGTGTAATCCATATACCTACGCATGAGCATGTGGCTGCTAATGCAACTGCATGATTTGTTTTCTGCTATATAATGATTGTCATTGTTTAATTAATAATTATCCTATGGGTTTATAACTTTCAGTCTAAAGTATGTCCATGAGAAATAGCAAATTATCTGACTAAACAAGTTGAGCAAAAATCCTAGCTAAACCCATACATCCAACAAGAACCCAATTGCTATCAATTTTGTATCCAAAAGTGGTTTAGAAAGGATATGATGCTGATAATGCAAGATGTATCATGACACCGTTCTTAGCATTTCGCCATGTACATGCATATCAAATTCAGGTAGAGGGGTCCTTTAAAGGACCAATGTATCAAAGATTTCAAGTCACGTGTAAATAGTTGCATTGGGCTCTATATAAGAGAAGTCACTTTTCTGATTGAGAATTGACATTTTGAGAATTGACATTTTGAGATAACAGTTATGAGGTAAATCATAATGTTTCAATAGAATTTATCTACTTTCAATATCCAATATCCACGCATTGAATTCCACAAAATAAGGGAGACTGAAAAAATGTATGTACCTCTCAGCATCCAATTTCAGGCTATCCAATTCTTTTAAAAGTAACTTTAATGATACGCTTTATAGGCTGTATGGTTCATGATTGACCGGGTCTATGAAGAAGATGAGGGATTTGGATTAGCATCTTATTAAGGAGACTAAAAGTCAACGGATAATAAGTTCAGAATAAATTAGACTCAATCATATTGCCTTGTCGTTTTAGAGCCAGAACCCATCTCAAACAGGTTGCAAACTTCTATGAAATGAAAAATGAGGGGGGATGGCTGGGGAAAAAAGATGACGGCACACAAGATCCACCAGTTAACCTCATGTTAGCCTAGGTTTACTTGATTACAGGATTGGTGATTATAGAGCTTGGATAGTGCTTCGTGGCTTAATCTAGAATTTGGTTCATGATTGACCGGGTCTATGAAGGAGATGATGGATTTGGATTAGCATCTTATTAAGGAGACTTAAAGTCATGGACAATAAGTTCAGAATAAATCAGAGTCATCAATATTGCCTTGTCAATGTAGTGCCGGACCCCATCTCAAACAGGTTGCAAATTTCTATGAAATGAAAAACGAGGGGATGGCTGGAGAGAAAACATGATGGCACACGAGGATCCACGCAGTTAACCTCATGTTAGCCTAGGTTTACTTGATTATAGGATTGGTGATTATAGAATTGGATAGTGCTTCTTGGCTTAATGTAGTGTGTATGGAACTACTTCAAAGGTTTTTTGTTTTTGCTGTTTTAATTTGGAAAATAGCATGGAGAAGAAATAAAAGGAAAAAAAGGCAAAGGAAAGTAGGAAAACGGATATACATGACCCCAGTCAATGACAGGATAAACTTCTGACAGCTCATGTGCATTGGTCTTGGATATGCTAGCCATTGTGTGCATTGTGATCCATAAGCTTATTGAGGCATTCAAAAAATTTCGGAGTCGATTCATGTGGGAGCTGTGGAAGAAAGGTTGAGAAAACTGATTGTGACAACTACTCACTGAGTAGGAGAGTGCGGATCATTATATGGGATTCCTGATTCCAACAAATTTTAAATGCTTTTGCTCATATATTTTCAGTTTGATCTAGAATATTGAAGAAATATGTAAATGTTCAACTATTTGCTGAAACACATGCCAGCTCTTGTCACATGAGTTTCTTTAGTCATTTCTGATTTCATTATATGGTTATTGCTTCTTAATCAGCAACTGCTACTGCAAACTGATTTTCTCTTTTAGTTCATGAACTGTGCTTCGCTTAATCAAGTTGCTGGTTTTATTTCATTATTGTGCAGTTGGCCCCAAAGATACACCTATCGAGGTGGTATTGGAGAAGACTTACGATGTTAAAGCTGGGATTGGTATGCCGGAGCTTTAGAGAACTAAAGAGTGCAATTCAGCAGTTTGGCTAGTGTCATAATCATGATCTCAACTTCAGATGCATCAATAGACCAATCTTCATTTGCAAGAAATAGTCTAGTTTTTTGTGGGTTTTTTTACACCATCTGTTCAGCTTGAAGAATTAGTTTAGCCCGCAGTTGCGGTTTGCAGTCAACTCTATAATAATCTAGGTGTTTGTTCCTCGTAATTGCTCCCTCGATGCAATGAAATTTGCCACATTATCTGTTTCTGATGCCCAGGAGGAGTTGTATACCCGCTGATCTATGTTTGTATCTGGGTATTGAGACCCAGATAGGAGTTTCTGTCTTTGTTCCCGTCTCTTACGATTGAATGTTTTTTGGAGAACAATAACGTCTTGTGGGATCGAAGTATTAATGAACTGTTTCTTTTTTTTTTATGAAAAGATGAACCGTCTCTTTTGTGTTAAATTTTAAATTGCATAGTAAGAATCCAACAATCGAGCTTGCGGTTTTCACAAATCACTCGTGGTTTTTTGCGTATACCGTGGTAGATTTTGCTTGTGGTTCTCGCATGTCATGGTAGATTTGGTGAATATAATTTTATGATAATATTAAAGTTTTTTTTTTAAAAAACTAATTAAATTGGAAATAAATGTATTCTTATCTCTCCAATTAGGCAATAATCCTCAAACTAAGAGACAGCTAAGTTACTATTTGATAATAGTCTAATAAATTGATTTATTATATGAGGAGGTAGTCATACTGTTATTAAACAATATAATTTTGGTTTAGAGATTACGTTTTCAAGTTTTTGTGTTTGTTTTGAGTAAATGTTATTTGAGGAGATAGCTATATTTGTGTTGGATTTTAGGTTATGTTTTTAATTGGAAAGTTGTTTCCTATTGTTTTAATTGGTTTTTTTTTTGGAAACATTTGATTTAATCATAAATAAAAGTATAGTGGTACTTGGAAAACTATTACCTTGGTTGTTGAAACCATATGCTGCGATATCTATCCTTTTGACATTGAAATTGAAGTTGATTATTGAAGGAATTAGATTCTCTGTAAATACAATTGAAAATAATACGAATCCTAGTCTGTGTGAACATCTATGAAATCCATAGTTGACTTGAATGGATAAAAATATGTTTGTTTTGGATTTTGGGGCTATTTGGTATCATGCAACATGACTGATTGCAACTATAATTGTATATAATTGATCATTTATTTCGATTATAAGTGTTTTTTTATTGCGATTCGCTAACTTCAGTTGCAACCACATTTTCTAACCCTCATTTCTAATGTGTGACTTACTAGGAAATTGGATGCAAGTTACACTTGCAACTAAAATTAACTTTTAATCCTACTGTAATAGTGGTTTGAGCTGCTTGGTTCTACTTGCAACTTCCTTTTGGCACCCAAAAAAAAGGTTTATAAAGAAAAAGTGGATCTTTAAAGTTTTCTAAAATGGATTTTTTTTATTGTAAGTTTTTCTTAAATGTTTTCGAACTTGTTTTTTCAAATTATTTGAAAATTCAAAGAATTCTTGTAGTTTTTCTATTTAAAAAAAAAATTCTTAAAACTTTTGAAAAAAAATATGACATGTTTTAAAAAAAATTAGAAATTTATATTTAAGTAAAATAATATTTTATTGGTAAGCTTTTTTTAGATTTAGATTTATTTTTTGAATTTTCATATTTTTGAATTTTCACGGTTTATAAAAATTTAATACATGTTTTTTTGGAAAGTTTTTGAACTTTCCTATTTAAAAAAATATAAATTTTATTATTGTTTTTTTTTAGATTTATATTTTCCCATTTTGGGAGGTTTGTTGCTCTTTAAAATATTTTTTAGATTTTATTGATGTTAAAAGTATATTTTTGCATGAATTTTTATTTATATCTTTTACAAGGTAATGTTTCTTTAAAGTTTAGAATTTTGACAAACTTTAAATTTTTATTGAAAATAAAAAAATCTCTTCATTTTCTCTTTTCTGTTCCATGTGTCTCACAAATTAGATTGATATTAATCGAAAATAATATAGTGTTCTCTACGCTTTATCATACTTTTCTTTTTTGATAAGTAAAAAATTAAATTTGTCATGAAAATCACCTGTGGATTCATTTTTCTGCTTTGCCACTTGCTGCCCGCTTTCTCCACCTGTCGTTTTGTTCTTGACAAGTGTTATCCAATTCCGGTTACTCTCTTCGTTTGTAACGTCTATTTAGTTCTCTCACGTTTCCATAAAGAGATTATAACCCTTGAGGGTCAGATCCATGGCCTCCGACCATCCACCTGATCGTCCCCGAGTTCTTCTTTCAGGTGCTCCTTTATCTACATCTAAATACCCTCAATTCAAATTTTCTATTGTATTTTGTATATTGAAGCATTATAACTTTCAATTGTTTTGGATAAATTTCCATCTATTATTAGAGCTAGTTAGGACAACTCATAGTTCAAAATCTTAGTCTTTACTATTTTGCCTCCCAATAAAGGCTAGCCCTCCTCTTGTAATTGTAATCAAAGAGTAAGGATTCGATCAGAACATCCTATTGAAAAATGTGATCTATACCATTCATGGATGGTTAGAGGGTCAGTTAAGAAATTATAATTTCTCCATTTATGGTATAGATCACTCCACTCTTATTTGAAAAATGTGATCTATACCATTCATGGATGGTTAGAGGGTCAGTTAAGAAATTATAATTTCTCCATTTATGGTATAGATCACTCCACTCTTATTTGAAAAATGTGATCTATACCATTCATGGATGGTTAGAGGGTCAGTTTAGAAATTATAATTTCTCCATTTATGGCATAGATCACTCCACTCTTATTATAGGGATGATTCTGATAGATCTCTATTGGTTATCATGTTATGGTAAAAAAAAATTAGATGATGAGCATATACGGTTATTCTTTTGCTTAAAATTGATTTGTTGTTCTATTATAGATTTTTAATTTTTTTAAGAGGTGATTGGGATTGGTTTACTTAAATTGATTTGTTTTCCGCCATAATTTCACATTATCACGCAGTACAAAAAAACATTGATGTAAACTAAATTAAGAACCAGAACATTTTGTATTCTTGTGTCAAAGTAAATAATGATGTACACCGGTGAGTGTAAAAGATTATTTAGCAAAAGTAAATTAGAACCTTCGACCCATTTTCAGAAAGAGAACAAAATCATATCCAAAATATCTACCTCCAAACATTGGGGCCCACTAGTTCTCTCCATTCGTATCCCCGCTGACCTCTTTCATTCGTCCTCTGCTAATTTTTCTTTCACGTCTAAATACCAATATCCAAAGTCTATTTTGCGTTCCTATCCAAAAAAAAAAAATTGTTTCAAGGCTCCAAATCCCAACTTTGAATGTGTCTCAGCCCCCCCCAACTTTCATACACGTGCTGCAGCCCAATTTTTTTGAAAAAATTGTGTCCAAGCCTCTCTCCCCAAATTCCCATGCAAACTCCATACACAATCCTCATTTTACCATTCTCCCCCCACCTCCCTCCCCCACCCCAAGTTCTGGTCCCCTTTGCCGCCTCCCTCCCCGCTCCGCCTCCCTCACCTGCTCCGCTCTCTAAGCATTTACAGGCGATGGGGGCTTGGCGGAGATGTTGGACGCAGCCTTTGTGCCAATGGGGTAGAAGGATGTGCCAAATGTTTTTGTTTGAGTTCAATGTATGAACTGTAACAGTTAGCATGTTATCTATAACAGTTAACATCTGCTGGCATGAGAAAGAGAAGAGGGTAAAATCGGGATTTTAGGAGCTGACATGTCTAATCATGAGCTGACATATCTAATCACGAGCTGGAATCATGATGGAGGGGCCTGGACACAATTTTTTCAAAAAAGAAAGGGCTGAAGCACATTAAAAAAAATAGGAGGCCTTAGGGTACATTGAAAGTTCGAATTTGGGGCCTAGAAGCAATTTTTCCAAAAAAAAAAAAAATCTATTTTGTGTTTTGTGTAAAAAATATATAAATGTGACTTCGTCTATGTAAAGGATATTTTTTTCCTAGAATAAGCTCCAGAGAATTTTCGGCCCATCATCCACGAGCCGGGGATCATCTCTCAAATGAAAATCCACACTTTTGGGCCCCCTCACCCTCACCCTCTCTCCGCCTTTAGATATTGGTTCTTTAAAACTTCCCAAAATTTCAACCCAGTCCCTCACATATTGAAATTGATATCCAGTCCCTGAATTCCTATAAGCTACACTAAATTAACTATTATTATCGTTTCCCCCTCCAATTCCTTAATTCCAACTGCATTACCGACCGATCAAACATAGAAAATTACCTCTACACGCTCTCTCCTCTATTTCTTGACTAGAGGGACGAATAAGTAGAGTTTCAAGAACTAATCTACTACTCTATACAAATGAGAGAACACAAGATTTACTATTCATGCTACAGCTAAGTTTGGTGTAACATTTATTACTACAGCAAACATAAAATGGGATACTGTAGTAATCAAAAAATTGCTGTAGCGGTTAAACCCCCGGGATTACTGTAGCGTAGGAAAAAATATGCCGGGCTTTGCTAGTTGTTCTCACTAATTTATTTAAAAATACAAAATATTTAATGGACCAATACGCAATTTTAACTTTCACCTTCCAACACTTTTGGACCCCAAGGCCCACGCCGCTTCCCTCGTCCCCAAGCGCAGCGTTTTTTTTTATGCTAAATAAACAAATAAATAAATACTTTAGTAGCTATTAATAGTTTCCTTCTCTCTCTTCGTTTCTTTTTTTTTATTTTACCTTTTTTTTCCCTCTCCCGCCGAAGGATTTAATAAATTTATGAGAGGCCGATCTCGTAGCCATGGCCTCTGATCCCCCAGGTTCTTTCTTTCCCGCCCTCTCCGATCGCTAACCTAATTTTTTCCCCCTTAATTGATTTTAGTTTTTGTTCGATTTTTGTCTTTATCAATTTCTCTTTCTCTATTGTTTTGACCGTGGTATAAGTAACTTTTGAGTCGTTCTTGTTGTGTGGCCGTAAAAAAATTGGCTTTGTCTGTTATTCGTGTGAAATTTTGGATTTTTAATATTCATCAACTGTTGTAGGTACTGTAGGAGCTAGGGTTTTTATGGGGTTACGGGGGAGTGAATTTAGGGCATACAATTAGTAGTGTCAAACTTCCTCCTGTTTGAATGATAGAATGATGTAATGTAATTTGCTGGTTGGCTGATTTATCTTTAATATTGTTGCCCCTTTGTTGATTACTAAATATAAGAAATAGGTATGTACGAATATGCCCACCTTTAAGGTCAAGAACACAAAAGTACGAATCAAGTGCAAATGAAAAGAGCTCTACAGTGATAAGGTGAAGCTTATAAACATCTCTGTGATGATGATTATAAGTGTTTTGGAGGGTAAGAACTCTTTCATTGAAAGCTTGTATGGGCAACATCTACTCGAGGATTTTTACATTACTTGTTTCAAGTTTGCTATAGGGATTCAATTTTAGACGATTTTTTGGGTTTATTGATATATTATATTCGACAGAGATGGTTGGTATTTTAAGTAGAAGTACAGTGTCCATGTCTCCATGGCTTTTATGTGAAGCCTCGTGTTTCCTCGAAGGAATTCTGTAATTAGGATTGATGTCAAAATGCGGATATTGTTGAAATTTAATCAATTGGGAAACTTTTGGCATCATAAGCAAGTAATTCCATTTGAGCGCTGCTTATGCACAATTATACTATTTACGGTTCTTTCTTGATTTTAACTATTTTGCAATTTCTCCTAAGGTACTAGTTTTCTTGAAACTATTTGTTGGGGGCACCAAGCTTTTCTAATTATATCTGTTTGATATAATCTCTCTTAACTATATGTGGTGTTCCGATTATATACCTATATATTTTTTAATAACCATACAGTTTATTGATTTTCTTGATTTTGACCATCTTGCGAATTTCAAATCTAGAAAACACCTTCTTCTTTAATATGAAAATAACTGCAACTAGTATAAATTTTGAGGCCTATTGTTGTTCTATTAGGTTGTTATATTTGTTCAAAGTTGGATTATTTCACTATCTCATCTTTTATTTCAGTCCCTATTTATGATGGTTTTGTTCGTGTCATGCAGGAGGAACTCTCTTGGATAACAATGCTGATATTTCAGCAGTTCCTATCCATATTGTGAACCATGCTTCTCAACTTCCAGCAGAATTTCTTGATCCTTCATCTGAAAAGCTGCTGGTCATTGGTTTTGATTGTGAAGGCATTGACCTTTGTCGACATGGATCTCTCTGTATAATGCAGGTAACTTGTTTTACATTAATTTTCTCGACCAAAAAGATGGATCCCCACATACTATTGGGAACATATTGTCATTATTCTTTTGTTTAAGTTTGTAGCATGCTACTAATATTTGGGAAACCAATTCAGCTTGGCTGAATATGTTTCCAGACAGTGAAAGTAGCTCAAGTGGATGAGTGTGAATGCAGCTGTATGGTATTCAATCATAAATGCCTTTGCTCAAGAGGCCGAACTTCTATAACCTTCATTCAATGAAAGTTTGTATCCTCTGTGTATTTACAAGGTTAGCACAGCCAGTAAAGTTGGTGTGTCTAGCACACAAACGTTGAACGCAATATCTTTTGTGCATTGGTATTGTTTAAGATCTAGCACCATGATCTTCTCAACAGATTGTTATTTGTGGTAATACAAAGAATGTCTTACAGAAGACGACAACTTATATCCCCTTTTTTTTTGGAGGAATCTATTAATGCTTGGTATGGGTGTTAGACATAATAAATATTATCGGGCATAATAATCTTTTTTTTTCCTTCTCTAAATTATTTCCCTTGGATAAGAATAGAACTAAATTCTAAACCTGTTTGCATTTCTGGAGTGCTTAACTTTCTCTCATCTTTAGCTTGCATTTCCGGATGCTATATACTTGGTTGATGCTGTTGATGGTGGGGAAGAAGTTGTGCAAGCCTGTAAGCCCGCACTTGAATCTAGTTACATAACAAAAGTCATTCATGATTGCAAGCGGGACAGTGAGGTCTCTTGACTTTTTTTTTTTGTTATGCATTCTTGTCAAAACAAACAGGATCACATCGATAGCTCTTATAATCCTGTTTATTTACAGGCTTTATATTATCAGTTTGGCATCAAATTACACAATGTTGTGGATACCCAGGTAAGTCCTCTATCTTTAATTTTTTTTCTTGAAGGGGTACTCTTATTGGACAACCTAAAGGAACACATATGGCATGGTAGAATTATGTTGTATTCACAATTTGTGACATACTTGACACATTTCAGCTTCCAAATGGTCATATTTGCTTGATGTTGGTGTTAATGCTGTAATTGTTTCAATGTTATTTTGCACAAATTCCAGCTTCAATCACCAACTTTTAAAAGTTAATGTAAAAGCTATCATTTGATTAAGCAGTTCAATTTTATATTGCCAACAGAAAGAAAACTGAGCATGAAGAATTAAAATGGAAATGCTTGTGGAGAGGATGATATATTGTTGCTCATGCAGATTGCATATTCTTTGATAGAGGAGCAAGAGGGAAGAAAACGAGCACCTGATGACTACATTTCTTTTGTTGGTCTTCTCGCTGATCCTCGCTATTGTGGTACATCATCACAGAAAACTGTTCCAGTTTCCATGTCAATTTATTCGAGTAAACAGATTTGATTTGTTTATGTTGATATATTAGGAGGCTCTCAGTCTGCAAATCGGCAAATTAAATAATTTAAATGATATAAACTGTCCGGTTAACATTTTCTTGGCTGTGGTTATTCTGTCTTTTTTCGTCCATAGCATTTAATAGGAACCATATTTATATCCTGAAGAACAAATGCTATCTGCGGTCATCATCAGAAAATGAGTAGTATATGCGTGGGCTTCTGCTGGGTTTCCTGATATCTTGTAGATCTAGGTATATGTATCCCTAGAAGGAAATGCATGCTTGTTTATTTTTTCTTTAATCCTGAATTCCTGATTACTGGATCTTCTTAAGTCGTTGATTTTCCATTCCTCTTATAGAATGTGGTCTTGTATTCCGCAGCCATTTTTATTCTTGCATGAACTCCTTTTAGGGAGTAATCTCGGAGGTAATAACCCCATATGCTGGCAAAATAAACCAAGACGTGTATACAGAATTCATTGATGATGTGGTACACAGGTTTTGGTGACTGTCTTGTAACTAGGTTGGAAGCCGGTTGGATACTCTTATTTGATATATATAGATTCTTGGGAAAAATGTGTTCAGGCCCCAAAAACAGAAACTTCATATGCTGCAGCCCCTCCTAGTTTCCCCCATGTGATTCAGCCCCTTGAAGTGTGACATTTTGTGCTGCACCCCATTTTTAACAATTATTACATGTCAACTAAGCTAAAATCCCCAAAATAACCTTATCCCCTCTCTTGGGGGGGGGGGGGGGTTTGGAGGCCGCGGTGGGTTGTAAAAAGAAATCTGGGAGAAAAAAAAAAGGAGAAAAAATAAAAAAGAAACTACCCAACCCAACTTTCAAAAAGTTGTGGGAGTTGGTTGGGTTGGCTTCTCACATGATCCATCAAAGTTGTATGCTCAATCAATTTTTAACTTGTGAGTGCAATGTATTGGCTGCAGTATCAGTCCTCATCTCACGAGGACAGATCTAAATATTCTCATGTTCTCATTAAAATGCAGGTTCTTATTGTGTTGGGGAACCTAAACTCGATCTATTATGAACCATATACTAAGTTCAGTGTGCTTCTGATGCGGCCCCTTAAGAACCACCTTCTCCGTTATGCTAAATATATCAAATCCAAGTTCTGATTGATCGACATGTCACCACCTTCTTGTCAATTTGCAGTACTAGAACAGATAATTAGGACAGTTCATGCATGATTCACATCAGTTATTGACTTTTGCAGTTCCCTAATTTATTTGATGCTATAATTGATGATTCGATCTGATATTTCCAGTGTAATTATTTGATGTAGGCGTCTCTTATCTTGAAAAAGAGGAAGTGCGTATCCTTCTGAGGCAGGTTAGTATAATTTGGTGGTTATTGTGTAGAAAGGATTATATGTCAAGTATTTTTTAATCTGTATTATTAATTATATTTACTCTGAAAGATCATTCAGGTTCATATGTGATGTTTTAGTTATATCCATGTTTGCAGCAAGTTAGTTTCATAGTTCAGCCCTTCTTCCACTGCTGCTTACTACCAAAGATCATTCAGGCCTTCTTTCTTATCATTACCAAGTCGATAAAACCAAAATTTCACTGCTATTTACTACCAAAGATCGTCCAGGCCTTCTTTCCTATCCTTGCAGGTTTATTTTTGGTATAGCTTATGAGCACTTAGTGGTCAGCCTTTCATGGTGCTCCGAGTATAAAAGTTCCTTTCATGATGTTGTTGATGATACAACTATTCCTGCCTTCATGCTACTGTTGCCTGACTATCCTAGTTTTGCAACGTTGGGAGGTTAAACTAATGTATGTTGTTTACTATTCTTGTTTTACAGGACCCTAAATTTTGGACTTACAGACCAATGTCCGAAATGATGATCCGTGCAGCTGCTGATGATGTTCGTTTTCTGCTATCAATTTATGACAAAATGATGGAGAAGTTGAATGAAAAATCCTTATGGCATCTTGCAGTTCGTGGATCCCTCAACTGTAGATGTTTCTGCTTAAGTGATAATAGCTATGCAGATTGGCCATCTTTGCCCCCTTTGCCAGGTCTGCTTTCAATTAAATTTCAAATTTGCAATGTTAATATATCATCAGCACTATGCTATTAAAGTCACGACGTTTTCTTTCTTTAAAAAGCTAAAACATTAGAACAGATAAAACTTGACAGAGTCATGATTTTTGGTGCATTATCTGCCACTTATCTAAATACCACTTATACGTGTGTGTGAGCATGTGCGTGCGAGGTGGGTGTGGGTGGGAGGGTGTCGATCGGTGTGTGCATTTTGTTTGACATATGTATAGCAGCAAGAAGATAACGAGCATGACTTACTTGTGAAGACCATCTTAAAATATTGGTCATCTATAATTAGCATTTCATGTTTCCTTACTGTGAATTGATATTAAGATGCTTGGGAGGTGATGCTTGACAAGACATGTAACAAGTTGCCATAAAACGTTAAGATTAGTATAAGGATATAATTTGCAGATCAGGCCCACTCAACTGCCAAAGGCCTTCATTTTTTTGGATGGGTAAGGATTTAAATAGAAGATGTAAGATATTGGGTTTTTCATAAGGATATAATATCACAATTATCTCTGGTACAGGATACTTAATCAGCCAATGGAATCATATTATCATTTATGTAGTGTATAGCTAAGTTCTTAAAGTGAAATAATCATGGGAAGAAAAAGGAAGTCATGTCTATTACACATTAATGTCTTGACTTCATCAAAAGACATGATTTTTTAAGCATTTGCGATCAAATTCTGAGATATCGAGTAGATCAATATTCCTTTCTATTGAATGATGATGTTTTTACAGACAGCCTGGTCTCTGAAGGTTATGTTCCTGAAGAGGAGATACTGTCTGTGTTGGATGTTCCTCCTGGCAAAATGGGACGAGTTATTGGAAGGAAAGGAGCTTCTATATTGGCAATAAAGGAATCTTGCAAGTAAATTCTTGTGTTACAGTTTAAATTTTTAGTATATAATGGCCTTGTATGTTTACTTATAGTATTGAGATGTGAAAATTTTCTGTATGTCTTTTATGATGCAGTGCTAAGATTCTACTTGGTGGTTCCAAGGGTCCACCTGACAAGGTATCAAAATTTTTAACATATTTCTCTTTTGATATTATGAGTGCAAGTCTCAAACACAAACGTGCATGATTTAATGTTTATAGTGTCTTTATTTGGTATGGGAGTGTCATTAAACAGCTGACTTGACGGACTTCGCTTGGTTGTCGCACTTGAAGAGTTCTCCTTAGTCCAGCAAAACTTGTAATGAATTTGAATATATGATAACAACAACAAGAAAGCCTTTATTCCAATTCCACGGTTGGCTACATAATCCTGCAGTCCTCCATTCAATCCAGTCGAGGGTTATCTCCTCAACTAAGTTAATGACCATCATTCTGGATGTTCTCTGAGGTTTATCTTAGTCCTTTCTCCATTAATTATAATCTTATCAGTTCTCCTATTCGGTGCATTTAATGACATCCATTGCACATGATCAAATCATTTCCAACGTTTTTCTCTTGTTTCATCCTCAATAAGAAGCAACCTCTAACTTCCTTCCAATGCATTCATTTTGTAGCCTCTCTTACTGTATTTCCGCCTGTCTGTTGTAGCATATGAAGTGTCAATTAATAAATTGTAAGTACTTGTGTTATAAACATGATATATCTTGTACCACAATACTCATGAATGGAAAAGACATCTTTTAGATTTCATGGTAGTTTTGATTGGCTCGCTTCTTAGTTTCGGGATGATTTGTTCCCTCTTTGCTTTTCCAAATCCCTTCCTAATGGCCCATGGGTAGAGATCCTCTGCATCTTTGATTGTAGGAAATCTCTTTAACTCATCAATCAAATCATCTCACTCAATCATTCTCTACAATCAAGATTGTACGGAATCTGGGCCCCTTCCTAATTCACTTTAGTTTCCACAGGATGGGATGACTTGTACCCTCTTTCCTTATCTAGAAATCTTCCTGGTCACCTCTTGGGTCATGTACCCATCTTTGTTGACAGCAATTTTCTAACACTCTCCTCGATCTTTCTGGTTTGAAAAAAGGGCAGATCTAGCAGACTTTTGGCCCATGGTTCACATTTTTTAGATTGTCTTCACTGTCCAGGCACTGTACCAGGTGCTTTCTGATGTGTTCTTTAATGCTACTATTAGTATTTGAATGGATCCCATGGTTCACATTTTTTAGATTGTCTTCACTATCCAGGCACTGTACCAGGTGCTTTCTGATGTGTTCTTTAATGCTACTATTAGTATTTGAATGGATCCCAGTTTGGCAATGTCAACAACTGCAAGTGCAAGTCTTGAATGCTATCCACAATATTGACACGAACTAATGAATATCATGGATACAACTTGATTGCTCTATTGAGCATGATGTCATAGACCTCACTGAGTTCTTGGCTCGTAGCTTGCTTGCCCTATCCATCTTTCAGGTTTAAGTAGATGAGCCATAGTTATTTTCAATTTGACCAGGCCTTATAATAGTGTCATTTGCAATATCCTATCTGGGTGTAGGTTGCAGTGATTTATAAGAAATCTCCCTTAAGAAGCCTGCAAATATTCTGATATAACTGCTTTGACAACGTGTACTAGATGCAACTTTGTCCCTTTTCTTTCTTAGGGTAGAAATCCTTGGTACCAATCTGAGTTATTGCAGGAAAACTTTCGTTTAATTGACAGAATGCCAGGTGTAAGGAATTATGCAGTTTCACATGCCTTTTCTGACCTGCAGAAAAAGAATGAGATTTATGGTCATCATATGGTTCTTTCAGGCACCTGTATGTTATATCATGCTATTTCAGTATTTCAGTGGTTGGCAAAATTTGTGTAGCTTTTCTAGTTTCTTTGGCCGAACAAACTCTGTTTCAGGAAACTTTAATCATTACCAAGTTTGCTTTAACTTCTGAGTTCCATCTGCAGATCAACCCGTGTTTTTAGGACATTTGTTTAGATCCATGCACATAAACATAAGATTCTGAACTATCAGTAACATCTACCTGTTACACAATGAGAGACTACCATGCATACGTACGTTTCTGAATTATTTATACAACTTTTTGTTTGCGACGTGTAGGTTTTCATCATTGGACCTGTGAAGCAGGTGAGGAAAGCGGAGGCCATCATCAGAGGACGGATGCTGGATATCTAGTTAGCCCTGCAAACAAATAAAAGAGCGCAAAACATTCAAAAATCTCCTTTCATGCTTCTCCTTGATGTTAAATATTAAAATGTCATGGATCGAGTAGGGTTATGTACCGAGTCAAAATCCTTTCTGACTATGTAGTTTGCTGGTAATATGTCATGTTTTAACTTTGTTGAGGGATAACTTGTGAAAACCAAAAATAATTCCCATCAGACATGTTTCTCAGAGTTTTATCGCATGGTTTATGAGATAAACCGATACAAAGAGCTAAACATGATTGGCTAGGTGCAGTTTGTTGAAAGGATGATGAGCAAATGGGGAAATCTAGTTGAATTTTGTTTGCTGCGGTGCTGGAATTCGCTGTTAATGGGAAAGTCTGCCACCTCCATTGTGGCCTCTGAGCACTGGAAGCCAACATGAGATCTCCATATTTGATTTCTAGAAATTATTGGATGCTGGTTCAATTCATGGTCGCAGAATTCCCGTACAAAGGAGAAAATTAATTTGGATCCACCTTCTCAAAAACGGGTCACAAATTACCCTGCCCGAATCCGATTATTGGAACACGTGCATATTTTTTTCCATGGGACAAATTTTCAAAACTGATCTGTTTTCTATATAACAAAACTTTACGGGACTTCAACTCTAGTGAAGTTTTGTTATGTAAAAAATTTTACGGGACTGCAACTCTTGTAAAGTTTAGGAATTTTTTTTTTAAACCGACCTAGTTTCAGTCTTGAGGCTAAAACTAGGTCGGTTTTTAAAATTAAATCTGAAACGGTTTTTTTTTTTTTTTTTTTTTTTTTTTTTAACAAACAAGTCGGTTTTGAAAATTTGTACTTTTTCCACGCAATGAATCTGGCATTGCCTAGTTTTCATGTGCGTGTCACAAGTGCCACGTCACCGTTTTCTGGATCCGCCGATCCGGCTACCTTTTCAAAGGCTGGCCCGCGCTGCCTGTTTTATTCGAGAACACTTTTTTAATACAAACCCCACCCTTGAGGTATTAACGGGAGCCCAGGCTTATTTTCGGTGAATTATCGTATTGGTATCTTCGGTGCATCTCTCTCATCTTGATAGTTTTTCTAGCTCTGATAATATTTTTAATATTTCTTTCTGAGCCAATTGTACAGTTAGACTCGTAACTCCGTTGCTGACGAAGAAAAAAAAATGAAATATCTTTCTTCGTTATAGTTTTTTACCTCCCAAGTTTTTTCTTCTGTATATTTGGAGATAATATCATTCGATCCTTTTTTTTTTCCCCAAATTTTACTTCCTTCTATC